ATGTTTTTTATTGAAAAATCAATAAAACTAACTCCAAAATAAAATTTCTGATTTAAAGACACTATGATGACACCAGGCAAATCTTCCAAGACACCTATCGTCGGGAATCTAACAACCCTATATATAGCTAATTCTTTGAGGTATCCATCCAAATCTGGCATTTGTAAAAGTTTTAAATCTGACATTTGTAAATAGTCCAAGCTGTCAGATTCGGTCTTTGCGCCCGCCGACTATCCACTTGCTGGGATGCTACGCAGCCTTTGATCTGGCCAATCATAATGCTGCTCCATCCCCATAAGCAAGTGATTTCGGCTGGAGTTCTCCAATAGGTCTTCTATGAGGGTTCTACAAGCCAGATTCACAAAATTATGCAGCCTAGCTGCTATGGTAGTGTAGCGAGGCTCCGTAATTATTGTAGCCCTCATGGAATATAGTACTACTCTCTGAACCTTTGAGGGTCAGGGAAGTAAACTTACTCGAAATGAGCAATGTTCATTACGAAATCTCTCATTCGATGAGAGACTTCGTAATGAACTTTGCCTTGATGTACTCTTACTACTCTTTCTTGGTCCCAAAAGGTCTAGGACTGTAAGCAAAAAAAACATAAGAATAATCTTGTTGTCATTATGCTTGTTGTCTGAAATATATGCAAAATCATATTTATATCAGTAACGTGTAGTTAGTATACCTATCTTGGGTACGGCGGCATCGCGTTCCACCTTACCCAAGATAACGGTCTGACACTTTACAAAACCACTAACGTATATTTTACAACACAAACGCAACACTAACTTAACCTTAAATATTTACAAAGCCGCCAACCACTTCACCTCACTAACGTTTTCACTAACGACTTTACTACTGTAAAAATAAACGTTCTCATTTACAAAAGTATTGCAACTCTTCCCATTGCTTTGCTTCACACAACAGTTCATATTCTTCACTATCGCTGCTGTCACTCCAATCGTCAGAGTCAAAGTCACTGTCAAAATAAATGTTAGTAAGTTTTGACAAAGCTAATGAAACACGCTTACCGTTTGTATCTATTGCTTTTATATATCTTCCATAATGCTCTTTGTCATAAACGCTCAAACTAACTTTACCCTTTCTCCCTCGTATCTGATAGAATGTATTTTCACGAGGAACGAAGAACAAATTCTTGAACTCATGACCGTTGTAGTTTGTTATCTCAATAGTTTTCGTCATTTATATAAAAATAAACTTAAAAATAATTTTAAAAAATAAACTTAAAAATAAATGATATCACTACCTTCACGCGTATGAAAACATAGCACAAAAATAAATTTAGGGTAGAAGGGTATATCTAACCCGATTTCTAGCCTCATTTCTACCCTAGCCGCTTTGCGGCTCTGACCCTTTGGGTCTCTTGAATTCATTGCTTTATAACTCTCTTCCTTGGTTTCTTCATTTTTCATCATTGACTTTATCCAACTCTTCTAACTTCTTCTTAAGTTCAGCAATGTTGTCTTCATGAAGTTTAATCTTCCTTAATATTCCTTCTCTATCTAATGGTTGTTTTATCTTTCTAAACTGAACTCTACCATCTTTCATAGTATGAATGTAAAAACCTTCTGGAACAGTTCCTGATTTAATGTATTCTACCAAAAACTTTTGTTTCATTGCTTCAGTGGCTTTATTTGTCATTTTACTCTAAAGTGAAGCTAGCACAGCGATAATGGATTTCATGACTTTTTAGTATTTCATGCGATCTTAACAGATAGCCTTACAAGTACTTCCAGTGTCCCTAGCTGTCCCTCCTTTTTATATAACTCCATGACATTTATAATCTCGCGAAACTTAACAGGTAGCATAACAGATTAAAATCAGATGAGGTTTTGAACCAAAATTTCTCAGCAACGTTGTCAAGGATTTTGAGGAACTAGGGACAGAGTGTGGCAAAGTCCAAGATTTAATTTATCTTCATCTGTTTCATCAGCTATCTCATCTAATATGCCAATATTTTATTCATAACTCGTGGCAAACTCACTAACTTTCATTATGTTCATCTGCATGCTTCATCTGATAGAAAGTATGACTTTCATTAACTCTGTGAGATAATGAAAACTACTAGGGACAGAGACCATGGCAAAGTTTATGACTTTCATTATTTCCAGAACTTAATGAAAACTACTAGGGACAGAGACCATGGCAAAGTTCATGATTTAATTTATTCTCTCACTAACAACAAACACAAACTCCAACACTAACATCAAGTACTAACTTCAGCACAAATGACAAACGCTAACAACAAACACAAACTCCAACACTAACATCAAGTACTAACTTCAGCACAAATGACAAACACTAACAACAAACACAAACTCCAACACTAACGACAAAAATAAATGTCCTCACTTCTTAACAAAGTAATATGTGCTTCTTACACCACCATAGCTCAAACGTTTCTTTTCAAACATCGATTGAAACTTATTTTGAGCCATTGGCTTTAGTCTCTTTTTCTTCAAATACGCCAAGAAATCTTCTTCACATCTTTTCACCTCATAGCCTTCTTTAAACTCCTCCTTGTTAAGTTCTATGAAATCCTTTATCTCATTCTTTGTTGCAATGGCTTCTTCACGAACGACATCGTGAACTATTTCATCATTGCATTCATGTATGACCTCCTCACTGTTCTCATGAACTATTTCAACACTGTTCTCATGAACGACCTCCTTACTGTCTTTCATAAGCGTTTCAAAGTCTCCTTTACTCATTACTTCAATCTCATGCTGTTCACAGTAGTACTTAAACTCACTGTATATGTCTTTGTTGTATGTTATATTGCTTCCCATGTACTCCATGAATTTTTCAAGCACTTCCTCATAATTCACTGTTTCTTTCTTTCCACGACCTTCTAATATCATACTTGCTTCGTAAATATAACTTCTTGCAGAACCGTCTCGCTTTCTACTTCTCTTCACAAATTCTCTCATCTTGCCACCAAATACATTTGAACTACATGCAAAGAATTCATTCTCCTTCGCAAATTCTTTATATCTTCTGTAGCACTCTGTACAATTCCATCCGGATACAAACTTTTCATAGAACTCCTCGTAAAACATTTGGTAAGGTGTTTTGTTCATTTCGATGAGTTCTTGTTTAGCCCTGGTGAATGGTATCTTCCTTACATCAAATTCACTTAAATCTTTCTTCATGAAGTACGTCAGTAAGTTTGAATAAAACTCTTCATTAAAGCTTTCAATGAGATTTGAGAAATATTCGTAATTTCCTTTGTATCTGCTGCTTACGTCAATGACAACAAATCTTCTGTCGTCTTTGTCAATCTTTACTGAGTTGAAGTTGTTAGATATCATGATGATATTACAAACATTCTCTATCTTTCTTACTGGCTGACACTTCTGATTTAAGTCCAACTGAGTCTCTGTTACTATTGACTTTAGTGCGTCGTGGTTCATGACCTTAGACGTATCGCATGAGCTTAGTTCATTGCATACGATGAGCTTCATGTTCTCAATAGCAGCATTGAATCTACCAACCACATTCTCTATTGCGTTATATTATTGTTGGCGTACTTGCTAATGAGCTCGCATAGAACATTACTAAGTACATTCTTACCAGTTCCTTGCTTTCCTGTTAACAAAAGTACTGTTCCAGTCTTTCCACAAGGATTTTGAACGATGTAGGCGAACCAGTTCAAAACATACTCATAAAGCTCTTCATCCTCATTACATATGACATCGTGAACATGTTTCAAATATCCTTCAATAATGCTTTCATCTACTTCATTCAGTACCTCATACTCATATCCTCTGAAATAGCTGTAAATGTCATCTCTTTCGTCAAAGAATCTCATGCCTGACTTCATAAGATAGTTCTTGTTCTGACCCGCTTCATAAATCATCAGTGCGTTCACATCCTTCTCTTCAATACGTCCTACATAAACACTCTTCATGAGCTTATTGAATTCCTTGCTATCTACTGACACAAGTGTTGTTGTGTCTCGTATTCCATCATAATCTTTCACTAGATATGTCATACGTGCTCCGTCAATAACGACAACACATCTTCTTAAGTCATTTATAACACTAGCTATGTCAATACCTTCTTCACTCATGTACTTATTTCTCCTCAAGTCCTTTAGTGTGAAAGTGTCTCTAAGTTCTATTTCAAGCAATTCATTTACACATCCTTTGCAATACTTCTCTATAAAATATTTCTGTCGTTCTTTACTAAGTTTCTTAACAGCTCTGAAGAACCATGTGTTTTGACTCAAACATCCTTCACAACTTCTCTCATTCATTCCTAGTTCTTTCATGTCATTATCTTCAACCTCTATGGTCTCATTGACTAAGGTCAAAGGGTTCTTAGTCATTGCTGGTCTTATCTGAAACAATGTTTGTGCAACAGGTTTAACTAGTTCAGCAACGTCCTTCCTTAATATGAATAGCTGTTTCCACTCATCTTTGCTAACAGTTCTTTCATAACCACTGACAGTAATGATTTCATTTGCTGACCTTAGACACTTATGTTCTATCATTTGTATTGCTTTTGTGTAAGGCTTTCGTGAGCATAGGTTGTATATGTCATTCCTGCAATGTTCATTCATGCCAATAGTACTAAATCCTTTCTTTGCTGTTGAGTGCATAATATCCATTAGTTCCTGTGTTCGTATTGCTGTCTCATAAAATACAACAAGACCTTTGTCATCTATGACGTACTTACCGAAAACATTGCTTATATTCTTTAACCATGAAATAACATCTTCATTCATGCTGTCAAACATGAAGTAAGGTCTTACATACTCTTCACTTATAAGATACTCCACAAAATACTTGTTAAGCTCTATGTCCTCGTGAGCGATTTCATTAGGTTTGATATTAGTTCCTTTTGTCATTGCTGTCATGTACTTCACTCTCATAGTTCCTTTCAATAGCGTAAAAATACTTCATTGTTTCATAACTGCTCTAAATTCTGTTCAAAATTCGTACAACATAACTTTTTAACATTAGTGAAAGAACATGCGCGAAACAACAACATCTAACATTACAGAAGAAGTCAATGACAATGCCGATGAAAACATTACAGAAGGAGCTAGTGAAAATATTGACGAGTTCAGTGAGGAAGAAGATATTGAAGACGTCAATGAGAACGTTAGTGGGGAACAATACAAACAAACATGCGAAGAACTTACTGAGGAACTCAGTGAGGATATGATTTAAAAAATTCTTGCTTTATTTTTGCTGCTGTCACTGCTGTCACCAAGTGTCACCATATAAAATGAACGACAGAAAATTTACTGCGCACGCACGCAATGATGCACGCATCGCTGCAAACACTAGTGAAAAAGGTACTGTCTCTTTTATGAGATAGTTCGTGTTTGTCATAGCTGTATCAAAAGAGATGCAGCTTCATTTTCATTGAAACAAAGCAACTGTCGACATGCTTCCACTTGCTTCAAAACACTAATGAACGTGTCGAAATGAGCTTAAAACACTTTGTTTTAGGGGTGAGCCACTAATGGCTCAGCATGTTTTTCATTGACTTTCATGCAGAAACATACATGTCGAAATGAGCTTAAAATACTTTGTTTAGTGGTTGAGCCACTAATGGCTCGACCATATGTCAAAAAGCTAATGCAGGATTTTATGAAGAAGTCATGAAAATATTGTTTAAGTGAAGTAGTGCTATCTCACCTAGTTTCTCACATGTTTTCTCACCTCTTTCAAAATCATTGAAATCATGAGCTAACAACATAAATGCTTTGTCAAGACTTCATTAAAACCAAACATATACACTATGTCAAACACAAACACAAACACAAACATATACACTATGTCGAAATGAGCTTAAAACACTTTGTTTAGGGGTGGTGTCTAGAATGGCACGACCGACATCAGTCAAATAATGACCAACATAAGTGAGTCACCCATTATACAACTCAGACTATGAAGCTAGCAATGAAGTTTTATCTCCATCTTATAACAATTCAACAAAAAAGACTTTTCGACCAACTGAACCAGGAAGAAATCATGTCCATACTTTCACAACAAATCCAACAGGTTCGGGTGCAGATTATATGCCACCATTTATGACTGTATTCGCATGGTACCGTCTTGAATAAAATCTTTAACTTTACATAAATGAGCTTGAAAGAAGTATTCGAACAACATCCATGGAGGTCATTTAAGAAGTTCAATGAAGCAGCAAAAAGTTGGGGATTTACTAACAGAGCTGAAGTTAAAAAGTTCTTTGACAAAAATGTTGTACATCAAACAAAAATAAACCCTTACGACTACTTTTTACCAATTTACACCAACACTCCTGACGCATACCAATTTGACACTCTCATTCAAAGCAGAAAAGGAGGACATAAACCATTCCTTATCTTCATTAATGTTAACACTCGCAAAGCATATGCATATCCAATGAGGAATAAAGGAACTCGTGAAGTGTTAAGAGTTTTACAAAAGTTTGTAGCAGAACATAGCCCAAGTACTTTAACATCAGACCAAGACAGTGCATACCTCAGCAATGAAATCACAGATTTTCTCATTAAGCATAACATAACTCACTACACTACTGAAGACCATAACCATAACATACTCGGTATCATAAACCGCTTCATAAGGACTCTCAGAGATTTAAATCAAGAGCGAGACTTTACCGAAGAAATAATGAAACATTTTCTCGAAGTATATAATTCCTCAACGCATTCTACAACAGGACATACACCAAATTCAATGACACAACAACAAGAAGAAAAGTATATACAAAAGAAACGAAGTCAAACACAAAATATCAGAAATTCAACACAATTTACTCTCATTCCTGGAACAAAAGTTCGTGTAGTTCTTGACGACAAACCGTTGACAAAGAAACGTTTAAGGTTAAGTAGAAACTATTATATAGTAGATTCAATGCAAGGTAATGGATATCTTATAAAAGCTGCCGACGACTCTATTGCGTTTTATCCTCGTCATAAATTAGTTGAAAGTAGTAATGGCAAACTTGCTGAAACCATTGACGAAGCAAAGCGAGGAGTGGTTATTGAAATACTTGGCTATAACACAAACGATGACACTTATAAAGTAAGATATGAAGGAGGCGTTGAAGATGTTATACCATCTAAGAACTTGAGAGAGTCGAAGCCAACACATCTGGGACCATTAGAGCGGGAGTACTGAAAAGACAAAAATATGCCAGAAAGAATAAGAAAATTCTTCTAAACTTTTTCATTAGATGTAAATCAGACATGAACGAGAACAGTCATGATATCATTAATGGTACCATTTATTTTAACATAAAGACGCAAAGCGGTGGGGCATAGCCCATGACCAAAAAATAATTTTTAGGGTAGAAGGGTATATCTAACCTCATTTCTACCCTCATTTCTACCCTCATGAATTTTCATGAATTTCCTTAAGGATACCCTTACGTGTCAGATTTTTTGCGCATACGAAGAAGTCATGCTAGACATGAGCTATAAACCTGAAATTTTAGCAACATATTTAAAACTTTTTAAACTACAATACACTTTAATATTCAAGAACAAAAATATTCTTTTTAGAAATTACATAATTATTTTATGTGAAATCTATATAAAAACATATTTTGCGAGCGTAACTTTTTTCTTTATAAGCACCTTATATGACTGATAAACTGTGAAGGCACATAATTGTTAATTCATAGAGTTGATATGTTTCCAAAATTGAGAGGAAATTTGAAAATTGAATACCCTTTCAATTCAATTTTCAAAAGATATCAGCTCCTTCAATAATTGAAGGATGATTTTGATCATTTGCTCTTAAAACAAGTATGCCATGGAGAAAAAAGTTACGCTCGCAAATCTGAAATATAACTATCATATAAAAAAATTAAATTTCTAATTTTTTACTCTATAGATATTATTGGCCACTTGTGTAATGCATAAAAGTTTATGTCATATGCATACATTTGGAAGTATGGGAGACGAGGGAAATTACTTCTATGAGGCACTAGGATTTTTAAAAATTTCTCTATCGGACTCACCATTCAATTTCTCGAAAATTAAAAAAAATCAATAATAGCTAAAATGTATTATGCATAACAAATTTTAATGTTACACGGTATTTTTTGAACTTCATGACATGAATTTTCTTTATATTATTTTTTTTTTGGATTTTCTATGATTTATGCGATAGGCTGGAACAACATTGTAAGTGCAATGATATCATTTATAGAGAAATCTAAAACTTCAGCATTCAGAACTCGCAACCACAAAAATATTCATTTGCTAAGTAAGTAAAGTTGATTAAGTTCGACACTTAGCTTTTATACGTAAAACCAAGTGTGTATTGTTATTTCTTGTTAAATTATTGAGAAAAAAATAAATTGTAAGAGAAACGATACTGATTATTGAAATAATATTGAGGGTAGCTGCAGATTTCTTCATTAACATGCCGGAAATTTGTTAATCTTGGTTTTCTATCATAAAATCTGTCGAAGAATCTAAAAACGGAGATATGAAATAGAGATCATGTAAATCTAGAGTATCCTGTCAGAAAAATAGACTAAGCATGTAACCCTTTTATGGTCATAAACACTTTTTACCACTTAGTCATACAGATGATCATTAAATTTAAACGAGCACTTTTTGTCAGAATTTATTCTTTTACAAAGACAGAAGATTTTAGTATTATTTAATATTAGTGCTGTAGCAAAATTCAAAAAACGGTGAAAATTCAGTGAATTTGTGAATTCACATTTTTTCGACATTTTTCTTGATATATCCATGCACATTAAGAACACAGCTTTGATACGCTTAAAAAAGCATATTTCATATGAAATTGTTAAAGAAATAAACAATTTATATAAAAATTGCACTTATGGGCAGTTTAGATATATAATTTATATATAACATATATACAAATCCATAGACAAAGTGCAATAACTACAATGTTGTAGAAAATTACAGCAGAAATACTGACTTTTTGAAGGATAATAAGAATTCTTCTAAATGTTGTATTTTTATAATTTGATTGATTTTTTTTACTATTTCAATAATCTTTTATGAATAATAATTATTTTTAATATATGTGCTATTAAAATTTCAAATTTTGACTAATATATCTAAGTTATCTGAACGAAACATTTAGAAAATATCATACTTACATTGAAATAGCAAGTAGAGCATATTAATAGCAAGTTTCTTGGCTTTATATCTATCATCTATTGTTGTTTGATCAAACAAAATTCACTCTATTATATGGTGTCAATTAATTAAAACAATTTTTAATAGTTATTTATTTAGTGCGAATAAGTGCAAACTCATAAATGAATAACTTAATAGTAGAAATGAATTATCTGATATAAATCTCACATTTTGTCCATCAGAAATACTTTAATTGCATACGCATAACTATTAGTAATACGTCTGGAGTGTCTATTAATAACAATCCCACAACAAGTAAAATTCAGATTTTTATTAAACTTATTTTTTCCTAAAAGTTTTCTCAAATTACTATATATACATATGTGGATAAAATAATAGTAATATTGTAAAAAATTAGATAATTTTTTTTATTTGAGAACCTCTCAAAAGTTCATTCAATTTATCAATTGTTTCAATTTGATGTATATTCATTTCTGGAGCCTAAAACTTTAGCAATCATGACAATATCATATTCTCTTTCTAACTACGCAATGTAAGGGTATCCTTAAGATAGAAAAAATAAAGTTAGTTTTATTTTTATTTATTTTTTTATTTCGTATGTAAGAACAGAAATGTCAGTCGAAGCAAAAACATTCACGAACAAATCTAATGGCGAAACATTCACAAAAGGCACTTATAACGGTATTGAAGTCTTACGTAGAGACAAGGATGGTTACATTAATGCAACAAAGATGGCAAGAGAAGCAGGGAAGTTAAACCATTTAAACAGATTTCTCAATAGTGCTAAAATGCAGGAAATTCTTGAGTTTTGGTTGAAAGAATACGGTCGAGCCAAAAGTGGCTCGACCTCAAAACAAGCATTTTATGAGCTTACTAAGGGTGTTATAAATGAATTCAAAGGTATTTACATACATCCTGACCTCGTTCATTTTGTTGCTGAATGGTGCTCTGTAAAGTATGCATTTTATGTCAAAGATATTATGGACTCCATAGACAAGAAAGTTCATGAGAAATTAGATGAAGAAGAACTTGAAGATACAGTAGAGAATGCTAAACCTTTGTTCGAAC